TTCGGGGTGCAGACACAGAGCACGGCACACGGGCCCCAGTGGGGCAGGAGGGCTGGGGCGGACTCTGTGAGGTCCCCATCCGTCCAAGCTGGGCGGTCCCCTCCTTGGCCCCTCGGGGGACTGCTATTTCCCCTGGCAGGTACCGGGCCCCACCCCCGCAGCCTGAGGCCACAGGGTCACAGCAAGACCACACAGCCCTGGGACCCCACAGAAGGTAAGCGAGGGGGCCCACCTCTGCCCACGCCTGCAGAGGTCTAAGGGCTCGTCTCGGGATCCCAGGGACGGCCAAGCTCGGGGGCCGTCTGTGCTGGGGTGGGCGCACCTCTCCGTCTAGTCCTTGACCCCACGGAAGGCCTGGGAAAACTCCCTGTGTTGACCCGAGGCCACCCTCCTGGTGCCGAGGCCTCATCTCTGGGAGACGCCAGAAGGAAAAGTCAGGAGACACAACTTGGCCCACCGATCGCCCGTCTCCCCAGGGCTGGCAGCAGCCGCAGGGTAGGCCCGGGCCCTAAGGATCCTGCTGTGGGAGGCAGCCCCTCATTTCTCACCTCCCCATCAAGGACTCCTGCCCCGCCTCCCCCGCCGCCCCACCCCTGGCCCCAGGCCCAGAGCCAGAGCCAAGGCCCCTGACTCCTCTGCTACCTGAGTCCAGGTCCTCAGCCCCAGGCCCTCCCCTCCCTTAGACCAGGGATCTGGAGAGGAGGAGGGGTTCAGCCTGACAGGCCCCACCCAGGGTTCCCAGGGCTGCCAGGTCGGGGCTGCACCGATTTCTGGGCCATCCCCTCCGTGTCCCGAGGGGTGCGTTGGGAGCCACTTACCCCTCCCTCAGCGGGTCCCCACACTGACTCTTGGCAGGAGCAGGGACTCCTGTGTGTCTCCCAGGTGGGCTTCCCCAGATGACCTGACTCCCACCTCTCCCAGCATGGTCCTCACCCTCTGAGAGGAGGGTGAGGAGGCAGCACTCCACGCCCTCCCCCTGCACCCCACCCAATTCACAAAGAGCTGAGATCGGGGTCGGCCCCTCTGTCCTGGGGTGGGAGTCCACTCTTTGTCCGCAAGGTGCTCCTGTTTACTTTCAGCGGGACCTGGAACTATCCCTTCTTCTAACCCCAGGATGCATCCTGCAGGCCAAGGCCACCAGCCCGCTGAGACCCAGAGGAGAAAGTGGGGCCCTTACTTTTCTTGACACCTGGCCTGGCCTCGCAGGACTGACCACTGGGGCAGGACTTCATTTGGGAACCCTGTGTCTGGGTGGGTGTCTGCTCAGGCCTCCCTCAGGGTCTTGGGACTCCACCCTCTGCTGACCTGAGGCCCCACTGCTCAGACCAAGGCTCACCTCCTGCAGACCAGGGTCACTCAGGTCCTCCCGCCGGGTCCTCCCATCCAGTCCCATTAGCTCCTGACCCCCCCGCCCCGTTTTTTAAAGCAGGCCGCCAGCCTCGGACAGACCTGGATGCGGACGTGCCGACACACCGCCTGTGGACTTGGCACAAACAGGCCTCCCAGGGCCTGCCAACTAGAGGCCCTGCTCCTTACACCAGACCTCCGGACTCTCTGAGACCCAGAACCTGAAGTCGGCACTCGCGACGTAGCCCCACGGACCCCAGAGATCTTCCGGGACAGACACTATGGCCCAACGTCTGTGAGACCTCCTCTGTCCTTCCCCAGAGTTCATACCTTGACTCCGGTTACTGCTGGGCCCTCTCCTCTGCCCACCCGACGGAGGCCCTGCTCCTTCTGCCAATGCCCCCAGCGTCTCTGAGACGAGGATGCGGGGGTCCGGATTCACCACGTGCTCCCATCCCCCCCCCCCCGACCTTCCCTGACTGACGCTGTGCTGGGGTCCAGGGTCCCTCAGTCCCCCCACTGCATCCTCAGCATGAAGCCAGCAGGACCGGGGCCCGCCCTCTGTCCACCCGAGGGAGGCCCTGCCCCTTCTGCCAAGGCCCCTAGACTCTCGGGAGACCCGGATGCAGCAGTCCGCCGCACTGGCCGCCTGGCCCCATCCCGCCCTGCCGCCTTCCCGGACTCACCCTGGGGCCCGACCTCGGTGAGGTCCCCTCTGTCCTGGGCTCCTGAGTCCCTCGGTCCTGCCCCCGATCGATCCCCACCCCGGCACCACTCGGACTCCCTGGGGCTGCCTGTGCCCCTGCCCCGTCCCGACCTGGCATCCTGCCCCTCTGACCCAGGTCCTCAGCTCCCTCAGACCCCCGACGCGCATCTCACCGGACGCACCCACCTGTGGCCACCCTCCCCGGGGGGGCCCCCAGGGCCGGGCCGCGGCAGGGCCCGAGTGGCTGGACCTGAGCGGGCAAGAGTGGCCCCCACAGTCCTCCCTCTGCCCCCGCAACCCGCTCCAGGGAGGGCCCGGGCCCGTCCCTCTGGGGACCCCTGTCCAGTGCCCCGGGCCGCGGCGGGAGGGGCTCAGCGGGACGACGCTGTCCCTTGCCGGGGTCGCTCGGGGCTGCCGGCATGGCGACCTGGCTCCTGGGGGACCCCGCACTCTGTGCTCCCTCACGGGCGCGTCTACCTGCACGCCTGGCGTCTCCCGACCGAGATCCGTCCTCCCACTCACGGAGGTCCTGGCGTCTCTCAGGCCTCCGAGGCGGAGGTCGGCGCTCGTCACATCCGGACCCCACAGGAAGGGGTCCCTTAGGGTGACAGCACATCGGGCGGAGATGGGTTCCGGGGTGGGCTACGTGGGGGCAGGGGAGGGGAGCAGACAGGCGGGGAGTCCCTCGGTCCTCCCTGGATTCCTCAGTTGGACCCCGCCCGGGAGGGTAGGGGCCCCGCCCCCGGCACCCCAATGAGCCCGTGCCTGTGCACCCCACACATAGGCTCCAACCTGCCCCCCGCCTTCCCTGACATGGAGGCAGAGACCGGAGTCTGGCAGTGTCGCCACCCAGCTTCCCGGTGACCAGTTGCACAGAAGCAATCACTGGGATCCTCTGGTCACCCCAGCCTCCCCGCCTCCACGGGCCGGGCCGGGGCCATTTCCACTGCAGTGCTCACCCCGGGAGCCGCCCCCGCTCACCCTGCCTCCATTTCTTCTGCAGGACTCAGGGCACCCCTCCCCACCTTCCTGCCAGGACTGCGACCCCTAGACTCAGTCCCCTGTGGCTGGGACGTGTCCTGCTTCTGCTAGTGTCCTCACTGCTCACGCACAGGGCCTTCCAGAGAGCAGAGCTCAGCCCACGTGTGGGAATCAAGGAGCCAGTGAGCAGGGCTCCCTCTCTGCTGGGAGGACGCTTCCCCTCCACTCTGGAAGAACCAGGCCAACGCAGGAGCGGGTGTGTGCGCGGGCTTGCCTTTGGCCTTTGCACAACGATGGTCAGGAAGGCATCTGAAGCAAGCATCAACAAACTTCTATCTCTCCAGCTTCTGACCCCCGTCCCTTGCTTCTTCCATTCTTGCGCCTTTCCAAACCCATCCCTAGGCCAAAGCCCTGTGATTTCGGTCCAGAGCCCACCCAAGTAGGCGAGGAGTCCAGGATGGTGTCCAGGACATGAAAAAAACTCCTTTTTTTCTTAAAAGTACTTATTTATTTATTTGAGAAAGAAAAGCACACACAGAGGGAGAGAGAGAAGCAGGGTCTCCACTGAGCGTGGAGCCCCATGGGGGGTGCGATCCCAGGATCCTGAGATCATGACCTGAGCCGATGGCAGATGCTTAAACAACAGAGGACCCAGGCGCCCCGGGTATATGATAAAACTCTTAACTCTTGAACTGGGTCAGAACAAATGCTGCGGAGTGGATGCTACTCACACAGTCAGGCCCTGAAGCGGCTGAAACCTTCTATGGCAAGGAACCCCACAGGAGAGCTTCCGCAAGGACACCAAGCTCTGGATGTGGGAGTCATCCCAGGAAACAACCCCCCCCACCCCCAGGAGGCTCCTTGCCCTGGTTTCTTCTCCCAACCCTCCCTGGCCCTGCACTCCTTAAAACGCCCAGGGCTCTGACTTGACGCGCACACACAAACACACACACAGGGAAGAACCAGCAAGCGGCCTCACTTCATGCCCAGCACCCCGCGGGAGAGGCTGCCGAACCCAGCAAAGCCTGGAAAGGGCCTGGTGGACCCCGGGGCTCAGGCCCCCTCTTCCTCATCTCTCACAGCCTCTTCAGACAGGGCCAGGGAGGAAGCCGGCTGCCCGCACCTGACCCGGAGCAAATACTCCAGCATTTGCAACTTGCTGGTTTCGGCGTGGGCCCTGGGACCCCACAGGAACTCGTAGCGGGCAGGGTCGCTGCCGGGCACCTGCCGGTACTCCACGTACCCTTCCTGCACCCAGACCTTGGTGAGGAGCTCCCTGGGCTCCCCGTAGATGACGTGCTCCTGGCCGGCATACACCCCCATGACCCCCAGCGTTTCCCACACCTCCTCCTCGGGGGCATGGTCGCCATGCAGGAGGATCACCCCCAGGAGCACCACCAGGAGGCCGGTCTTGGGCACTCCCTCCTCACCGCTCAGCATCCCATCGTAGGTGAGGCCCAGGACGGGGACCAGGACGTAGGAGTGGTCGCTGGGGTCCACTTCCTTCACATCCATACCAAAGACCAGCTGCATGCACTCAGAGGCCTGGCCCAAGATCACAGGGAAGGCATCCTGGGCATCCTTGCCGACGATCTCCAGCATCTCTGCCTGGCTGGTCGGCTCCTTGGTGTGATACTTGAGGAGCAGGAACTCCACCAGGTCGGCCAGCTTCCCCTGGAGTAGGTTTTGGAGCCCCGGCTGGGGTTCTTCGGGCTCCTCGCAGGGGCTCGTCCCCTCCTCATCGGAGCTGCTGGAGCCCTGGTCAGGCTGGCTGCAGGCAGTGGCTGCCTGGGCAGTGGGGGAGGGGCAGGCACTCAGAGAGCTCTGGGGACGACTCTGGAACCCAGCAGCAGACCCCTCCTCCGAGGGGACCAGAAACAGAGCAGAGCAGGAGCCAGATGTGGCCGCGGACTGGGAGGAGGCCGAAGCGGAGAAGGAGGAGGGGGCGCGGGGGACCTCCTCCTCCCCAGCCCCCGACAGCTGTGCCTCCATCAGGCCCTGGGCCGGGCCGGGGTCTTCCTCCAGCTTCCAGAGCTCACCCCTCTGACCCAGGGGCATGGCGTTTGTGTCAGGCTGAACCTAAGAAAGAGGTGGGATGGCTCCTCAGGGTGCAGCCCAGCCAACAGAGGCCCAAGGTCCCAGAGCTGACAGTGGACTGTGTCGGACTTGGATTCTGAGGGGTCCCCTCTGTGTTGGGATGGGCGAGCCCCTGGCTCCACGCTCAGAGCAAGTACCTCACCTTGACCACCGGCACTCACCTGCACCTCCCCTGCTCTGGGACCTTAGAGGCTCCTGCCTCGGACCTAGGCCTCCACTCTGAGCTCTGGAAGCCCCTGGAGGAGAAAAGCAGGTGTCACTTCGGGGTGCAGACACAGAGCACGGCACACGGGCCCCAGTGGGGCAGGAGGGCTGGGGCGGACTCTGTGAGGTCCCCATCCGTCCAAGCTGGGCGGTCCCCTCCTTGGCCCCTCGGGGGACTGCTATTTCCCCTGGCAGGTACCGGGCCCCACCCCCGCAGCCTGAGGCCACAGGGTCACAGCAAGACCACACAGCCCTGGGACCCCACAGAAGGTAAGCGAGGGGGCCCACCTCTGCCCACGCCTGCAGAGGTCTAAGGGCTCGTCTCGGGATCCCAGGGACGGCCAAGCTCGGGGGCCGTCTGTGCTGGGGTGGGCGCACCTCTCCGTCTAGTCCTTGACCCCACGGAAGGCCTGGGAAAACTCCCTGTGTTGACCCGAGGCCACCCTCCTGGTGCCGAGGCCTCATCTCTGGGAGACGCCAGAAGGAAAAGTCAGGAGACACAACTTGGCCCACCGATCGCCCGTCTCCCCAGGGCTGGCAGCAGCCGCAGGGTAGGCCCGGGCCCTAAGGATCCTGCTGTGGGAGGCAGCCCCTCATTTCTCACCTCCCCATCAAGGACTCCTGCCCCGCCTCCCCCGCCGCCCCACCCCTGGCCCCAGGCCCAGAGCCAGAGCCAAGGCCCCTGACTCCTCTGCTACCTGAGTCCAGGTCCTCAGCCCCAGGCCCTCCCCTCCCTTAGACCAGGGATCTGGAGAGGAGGAGGGGTTCAGCCTGACAGGCCCCACCCAGGGTTCCCAGGGCTGCCAGGTCGGGGCTGCACCGATTTCTGGGCCATCCCCTCCGTGTCCCGAGGGGTGC